CTAAATGATGGGAAGATTACAACAACAGTAGAAACAGAAGTACAAAGGAAGAAACGAAGGAAGAAACGAAGAGAAACATCCATGCCACTCCACGGTGACAAGATCTGAGACCATCAAATCTTGCCACCGAGGCCGGGATTCGAACCCGGGACATCTAGGTCTGTGATCAGTTGCGCTAACCACTGGACCAACCGATGTCGGCGTCCGAACACTTGAGATATTCTTTTGAAATTACGGGAGAACACGAACTATAGAAGTAAGCAGTAAGTTCACAGATTTTCGTAAAAATATAAACTGAACGCGGAACGCTTTAATCGCAATTTAATATAGAAGATTGACGACTCCAACGAATATCATGCTTGTTTACGTTTTGAATTGAACAGACGATTTCTAACCTTAACAGGTTTATTTATGTTGCTTTCGAACGTTTTCAAGAAAGAGAGGACACTATAAATCATACCGGGAGTATTTACATTGTCAAACGAGCCCGAAATGTCACATTTTAATTTATTTTCTCGAGCTGACGCGATTGAGGCTGTTGTACCGACGCCTTTTTTTCGAAACTAAATACATGTAACGGACAATGTGGCAGTTAGTGTTGAGGGCGAATTAGTTTGACCCGAAGGTGAATTTGTCTTACCACAGCGCTAATTTCACAGCTAGTGCTGTTTTCCAATTCTGGTTCGCGCTCTAGTAAAGTCAAGTCAGCGTATGAAGCGAATTGATTGGTGCTTCAGTACAATAAATTAGTTCTGAAGCCTAATTTTGATTCTACTTGGCGAGAACCAACCAAATTAGTTCTCAACGCTAACTACTTTTTTTTCAGTGCAGAGTTCTTTGTGATGATAGAAACTGAATCTAAAATATCCTGTTCAGTGATCTGAGTTCAGACTTGTTAGTTTAATGCCCAACACGTCTGCCAAATGCTTAACGCTCAAGGGATGTTGATGAGACTGCGTTGCAATGTGGTTAATGAACTGAAAAACCCAACAATCGGATAAGTGTTTTCCAAAAAGCACCTCTCTGGACTCAATTGCTCGAGTGAGTCATAGTAATAGGCGCATAATATAAAGTACCTACCTATACATCAAAATGATCTTCACAGCAGCGAAGAGAGGACTGCAAAGAAGTGCACTGACTTCGGGCCATCTGCAACCATAGCCTCCTCCTTTCCCCTTTAGGAACTGTAAAAAATATTTTTCCCGGTGTGGAATCACTTGAATTTCCACAATCACGCACAAAACACTTCACTTTACTGGTCATTTTCTGATTTTCGTGACTATTCTTGGGTATGATTTAGCAATATTATTGTTTTGCAAGTGATCAAGGTTAGGTTTACATTCGTATACGACAATTAATGATTAAACTCGAAAAGAGTTGTATCAAACATATCGAGACTCGACAGCGGAATTTTGAACGTAGAAATTCCAAAAAATACTTTCAAATGATTTCAAAAAAACTACTTAAGTTCAGAAAATTATGACACACGTAGGTAACATTACACACGGTAGATAGGGAAGTTGTTGTTTCATCGCCTGTCTACGTCATCACCATGGCGCGAAAAAAAAATAGCGTTTCAAACGGGTCCGATTTTTAGCGATTTCAAAACGGGTTTTCTTAGTGATTTCGGGCTTTAAAAAATCTAAAAAAAATCATGGAAGCTCAGATCACTCCAAACTTTAAGAAAATGAATTTAAAAAAAAGGGTGCCACTGGCCCATTAAAAATAGTTAGGTTGAAGAAGTAAAGTACTGATTATATACATTATTTTAGTTTAGGTAAGTGCAAAGGGCATTGACGTATGCGTTTGGTATTGAAAAGTATGAATTCGCATGAAATGTTTTTTTTTGTTTGTTCGTCAAAAAGCACTTCTCGAGTCAATCTTCTTGCTTATACAATCTTTAGTGGTATTTCAGAACATCCTCAGTTCTACCAATACCCTTATCATTTACTACGTAATGTGCCCGGAAACAAATAAATTGGGGTGATTTTTTCTAGATGCTCACTTCCCTCCAAACAAGCTTTCAATAGTAATAAATTTGTATGTTTGTATTTTGCCCTTCACAAGAATCGCTTTAGAATTTGCGTAAGGTTTTTGACAGTTGATGGAAAACCTTCCAAACTTTTCTTCCTCCAGAACGGGGCCTTTCTCTTGGGCACCTCTGCCAGCCATCCCTTCCAGCCACAGGCAACAGTACCCTGTCCACCGAACAAGCTTTCAATAACAATACAATTTTGATATTTCAATTTTGCCCTTCACAAGAATCGCTTTAGAATTTACCTAAGGTTTTTGACAGTTAATGGAAAATCGTCCAAACTTTTCATTCTCTAGAACAGAGTCTTCCTCTTAGGCACCTCTGCCAGCCATCCCTTCCAGCCACAGGCAACAGTACCCTGTCTACCGAACAAGCTTTCAATAACAATACAATTTTAATATTTCGATTTTGCCCTTCACAAGAATCGCTTTAGGATTTACCTAAGGTTTTTTACAGTTGATGGAAAACCTTCCAAACTTTTCATCCTCTAGAACAGAGTCTTCCTCTTGGGCACCTCTGCCAGCCATCTCTTCCAGCCATAGGCAATAGTACCCTGTCTACCGAACAAGCTTTCAATAACAATACAATTTTAATATTTCGATTTTGCCCTTCACAAGAATCGCTTTAGAATTTATCTAAGGTTTTTGCCAGTTAATGGAAAACCTTCCAAAATTTTCATCCTCTAGAACAGAGTCTTCCTCTTGGGCACCTCTGCCAGCCATCTCTTCCAGCCATAGGCAACAGTACCCTGTCTACCGAACAAGCTTTCAATAACAATACAATTTTAATGTTTCGATTTTGCCCTTCACAAGAATCGCTTTAGAATTTGCGTAAGGTTTTTGACAGTTGATGGAAAAACCTTCCAAACTTTTCATCCTCCATACACGGAAAAAACAAGACTAGTGTTGAGCACTACTGGCCGTTTAGTGGGGAGTAGTTGAGGGCTGGCGTCTAAGCGCTGTACAGCTCAACACCGGAAGGCAGTTCAGTTGGACACTGAACATGAGTAGTGCTAATCAGATGCCGCGAGACGTAGTTGCGCTGAACAGGTGTAAATTCACCCTGGAGACGTCGGAGTCACCATAGCCTGGTGGTAACGCGCTGGTCTTCCACCGGCGCAACTCGAGTTCGTTCCCAGGCGGAGGCGTTTCATATTTTACGCTCGCTCCGAAGTCACTTTAGGGCTTGACACTACTTCTTCCTTAGTGACCTAGCCTCAAGCTGTTTAGTGCCCAGCACTCCTCTGACTTGCTGGCTCCATTTGACCTAACCCTCGTTAGTGCCCAGCACTAGCATGTAGGTCCCAACCCTAAGCTCGTTTTTTCCGTGTAACAGAGCCTTCCTCTTGGGCACCTCTGCCAGCCATCCCTTCCAGCCACAGGCAACAGTACCCTGTCTCAGTCATGCTAGAGTGCCCTCCACAATCAGACAACAGAAATTGCCCCCTACAAAATAGAATTCACGCGAGGCCAATCATCGAGACACCGGTGGCAGTGTTACCTGGTGTTCAAACGTTAGGGTCTGCAAAGAATAGTCATTCTTTGCAGCTTTCATGTCTTTATCGATCATTCTCCGGGGGTTTTTTTTTGGGGGGGGGGGAGGGGCAATGACAGATGAAAACCATGTGTGGCTTTAACTTCATGCAGTTTTTCCTAGTTTACATCTGCTTTTTCGGCACATTTTACACTTTTATAGGTGCTACACGTGTCCTTCTGGAGTGACTCGCGTCGGTTAAAAATTGAATGGTGCGATTAAATCGGAACGCAATGAAAGACTTTGGATCTGAATAGTTTTAGTAATAGATGTGGTTATTTCCTACAAGTATTTTACCAATATGACAACGAATATTTACATTTATAAGATAGATGACAAAAATGTTGTTCCTGGAAAATGGGCTCATAATAATAGTAAACAAGCAGTGAACTCCAACACAATGTGTTGATNGAGCCCCAGAATGAGAAACAAATTTTAATCATTATTATTGACGGATTAGTAAACTTTTTACACGCTTTGGAAAATCTCAGAAGTTCGCGGTAGTCACTTTTCGGTAAGGAACTAGGGGACTCGGTTATTGTATCGAGGGGGGGGTCGAAACGATCGCAAAGGCGGTATACTACGTATACGCGCCAAAAAATGTCCGGTACCCATACATTCCTGCAATAGAAAAAAAAATAATTATAACTATTAACTAACTTTGTCCTACCAATTTTTCAAAATTTTGGTTGAGACTGCTGTTAGCGGTAGGCAAAAGGTATTCAGATCATTGATTGCAGGTTGCAGGTAGATTGCAGGTATTCTGATCCCGGCAATGAAGGCCTAGCTTGCTTAGAGAACTAGTGATCCCTAATTGATATCCTCAAAGCTTGGGATCACGCCCCCTTTGGGCTCCTTAATTTCTGCCTTGCGGATTAAAGCCTCTACACATGTGTACTACATACGGTTATTTTTCGGAATGTCTTATCATGATGCGAAAATTGACTTCCTATGGCATTCCTGCAATAATGGGTTTTATATTTCGGAATTTTTTTGATGTGCTTCTTTACCTCTGCCACTTTTGACTCCGTGAGTTTGTTGCGACCACCATATTATTTCTTTGGTCCACAACACCCTTGTTCCTACATTTCTTCAATGCCGTATTATCAACTTTTTTGTTGATCGTCTCGAAAGTTCGGCATAAAATTGGCTGAAAAATCCACTTGTCCAAACATAGTCTCTCTGGTCAACTCCTTACTCGACCCATCCAGTTTTTTGGTGTCAAGTGTTTCTTTGACATAAGTCTTCATCATCACTGTCAGTTGCTGTCAATCGATCATTAATCCACATCGAAAATAACATGTACATCTTAGGATAGTTCTAATGACACCATCATCTAAAACTGGCTGGTAATTCTTAGTCAAAAATATCAAGAGCATCAATAATCGTGGATCGATGCTCTCACGCAGACCCGTCAAAAAGCTGTATTTAAGGAGGGTAGGGGGCGGTGAAATTGACTTTATGGACAGGTTATCTACACAAGAGCTCCGAGAAGTTTTTACTCGCTTTCTTCTGTTACACTTATCCCTGCTTGGATAAACAGTGCACTGGAAAAAAAAACACATTGGATCTGGAGTCCAGACTCTTGAAAACATTGACAAGAAAAAATACTCTTGATTCAATCGGATTTTTGCTTGAATCAAAATGAAATCCGCTTAAATTAAGAGGCTTGGTTCTTGATTTAAGCTAGATTCTGATTGAATCAAGAGTCCTTTTTCATGTCGATGTTATTAAGAGTCTGAACTCTAGATCCAATGTGTTTTTTTTTTTTCCAGTGTGAGGGAGGGGTGTCTTTAAAACATGTCTCCCTCGCTTGTTCTGGCACACGGACCGTTCTCAGACGCTGGAACTCTCGATTCAAACCTCTTCGGAATCCAAGAACGGTATGATAACCGATATCCCGGCACCGCGACAGGAGACACCGCAAGCGCCTCAGCTGCACTCTTCCGGCGGCGGCGGCGGGGAGGAAAATGTATTTTCCTATGAACATTAGCAAGCCTGCACGTATCACGATGGTAATTCGAAGTTAATTCTGTCTTAAACGTACAGATGAGCGGAACGGATAAATCAAGGCGTTATCTGGGGCCCCGCGCCGCCCTCCCGGCCGCGGTTGAATTTGTCGCCCCGAGCGATCATTCGCCTTCTCGCGGGGAGACAGTCGTGGATGTCTTCGATCCCGGCGGAAAAATATGCTCAGCCACTGTTTGACTTATTAAGCTGTTTCGCCCGCGTTTGAATTTGAAATAAAACGCCCCCGCCCCGGAGCTCCGGGAGTCGGGAGCTTTATTTATTCAAAATACGTGCTTTTTGTTATTTACGCCGAGTGCTAATATATCGTCTCCTTCCCTCGCTCGATCTTCGATCCGCTCGTAATTGAGTTCGTTTTATTCAGTTCGGAAATCGCGGCCCGCGCGTCGAAACCGCGGAACCTCCGGGGATTCTCATTGGCGGATGCGCTGTTCCTGGCTCGAGGGTAGCCTAAGCCCTTGCACTTTTCTTAGACGCTCTCTCTTGTCCTCGTCCTCTTGACTCCCGGCAGCCATTATCGTTATCGCGTGTTTTAAAGAATAAATAGGAGACCAGCGAGAAAATCAAACTCTTAAGCTGACTATCGATTACGGGTCCGGAGGAACGGATAATGCGCCACGGAGCTGTAGGTGAATCTGAGAGGGTTAGAGACTTATTCCGTTCTCTTCGCCTCCGAAAGAGAGCAGGTTTTTGGGTGTGAAAGGGGCCCGTTCTACACCTGCTTTCTCTTATATCGAGGCTTAACTTTAGTGGGTACGTTACAGTTATGTAACGAAATTCAACTTATTCATAATATGTAGTAAAATAACATCGCACCAGGGTCAGAACCAAGACGAAACCATCAGTTACTGATGTTGATTTTTATCAAATGAAACAAATAAGT